CGATTAAAAATGTGTGGAATTAATGGACACTCGAATTTCCATAAAGGGGGTTCTAAGCGGTGTCAAAAGGAACGTTGAAACTTAGACTCTGATCCCCTTTTTTGGGACAGAAGTCAACGAAATGTCAAAGAATATAGTTTAGTCCAATCTTTCAGAAGGAGACTCAAAACTCGCGATGTGAATAGAACTCATTTTGCTATGACAGGACCCAGATTTCATCGAACAAAGCGACTCAAACATTGATCCCCCTGTCAGAATAGAAGTCAGGAGCAACACAAAGATCACGATATGAGTCAACTGAATTAAAATTTCGCGACGTTAGAGCTTTCCTGGAAAACTGTGTCAAACTTTGAGAAGGCTGTCAAAATATAGATCCACAAGATCTCAAAAGCCTAACCTAATCTAACCCCTGATTTATTTCAACATTCGGGATTTGGCAGAGGCTTGACGGAAATCCATCATCGATGCGTGCTGAGTAAAGGAAGGACGTGCATCCTAGCTCCTCCGGAGTGCCCTCTGAGTCCGAGTCGCGGCTCAATCGTCATGGTCGCCCCTAGGATCCGCGGGACGCCAATTACGCCCATGAACGCGTCGCCATCCATCAGCGAAATTTCCGAAACGCAAATATGGTCAGACAGTCGCTGCTCGCGACTCCTTTCCCGGCGAGGGAAGACGTTCCTAACCCGCTCCGCGGTGACTCGTCCTCGCACACCTGCGTCGACAGCCTCCAAAGCGGAGGCCGACGCGTTGCATCGTTGGCTCCGTGTCTCGTTCGCGTATAAGGTGTTCACCTGTCACTTAGACGCGTTCCGGGAGCAGCTTCAATTACGCTTTTCCCCGCGGTACGCGCGTGCACGGCCTCGTTATCCGGCGCGGAGGATCGCGCCGCTGAGACGTTCCTTGGCGCGATCCCCGAGGATTGATATTAGCCGTAATCCGCGTGGTAATTCGATCGATCGACCGGATGGAAGGCCGCGGCCGCGTTACTGATCGGTTATCCAGATCGAACGTCCGCTCGTCCTCGTGCACTGCTATTTTTGGCCTCACTTCCCTCCACTGCCAGGCTATGAAGGCTCTTGGCAGAGGAGGCGCCTTTTCTGGTAGTTTCGGCTGACTGACGGTTCATCCGGAGTTCTTTGATGCATGTCCAGGTGGAGAGGACCTGACTGCTGGAGCCTGGTGAATGGTTAGTAACGGATCGTGTGAGAAATTTCAGATTTTCAGGGTCTAGGTTGACAGGGTGCATTCTGAATACTGGATCAAGCTTCTTCAGGAATTTTACAGGGGTGGATGTGTTTCGTGTAACTTACTAAGTTAGGATTGACATGATCTGGGTCTATCCTTGTCACAGTATCGAGATTCTTGAGATGTTTCTAACTGTTATAATCCATATCAGAAGCTTTTGGCAGAAAATAGAATATTCTATGATAGATAGTCTCTAAGGTCCAGGTTTATCCTAGGGTCTAGGTTACTGTATGAAGCTTCTCAGTGAGTTCTACAAGGGTGGACATGTTTCATGCAATTAATTAAGTTAGGATTTACATGGTCTAGGTTTATACTTGTTACAGCATCGAGTTTCTTGAGACGTTTCTAACTGTTATAGTCCACATTAGAAGCTTTTGACAGAAAATAGGATATACTGCGATAGATAGTCTTCAGGGTCTAGGTCACTGTGTGAAACTATTGGAAGAATTCTACAGGGTTGGACCTGTTCAACGTAGATTACTGATTTAGGACTTACATGGTCTAGATCTATACTTGTTACAGGATCAAGTAACACGTAACTGTTATAATCCATATTAGAAGCCTTTGACAGAAAATAGAATATTCTACGATAGGTACTCTTCAGGGTCTAGGTCTATTCTAGGGTCTAGGTTACCATATGAAGCTTCTCGATGAATTCTACAGGGGTGGGCATGTTCCATGCAACTTACCAAGTTAGGATTGACAGGATCTAGGTCTATCCTTGTTACAGCATCAAATTTCTTAAAGAATCTACAGATTTTTCTCGCTTTCATAACTTCTGACATTAGAAGCTTCCAGTGGAAAGATAATATTCCACGATATTCAATAAAATACTTAATTCGTTCCATCGTATAGCGAAACCCTAAGTGTCCAAATCATCCCGCACAGCTCCTCGGATCTACCTAAACCATCGCGTCTCCCTTCCAACGCCATGCACATCCAACCCCTGGTCCCACCCTCTCGATCCGAGTAACACGAACAATTAGCCGAGGAATTAATGGCCGAACGAAAGTACGTACGGCGACGATGGGAAGGAAATTTCACGGTGACTGTATAGATAGAGCTAGAGGAAGACAAAGAGGCAGCCGGCTGAGCTCGTGTGTACCCAGGGGAACTTTTCGAGGATTGTGGCACTTAACGGATGATTAAGAGGGCAAATAGAGAAGCGCAACCCCGTTGGTTAACGTGGCCTCATACCCACGGCTCTAACGCTCCCAGCAGGACCCTCGGCGTGTCGTACGTTTAATCGAGTTACCCCCATTTCGTAATCACCCTACGTCCCCGAGGGTTGCCATGGCGACCGCGGGCGGTCCTGAAAGCCGATTGGCGGATCTTCACGCACGCGGAAACCCCGGCCACCCCTTTTCGCCCGACGTACGTGGCCTATTCCCCAGGATCAGCTCGAACGCTTTCGGAACCGACCCTCCCTCATCCCCTTTTACGCCGGCTGGATTTACACTCGGTTTAACCCGGCTCTCCATGCTACCTTCCACTCACCCCGCCGCCCCCGTCCAGGCGCTCCATCGACGCCAGTATTTTACGGAGGCGCGTTGTAAAAATCGCATAAAAGCTTCCAACAGCTTGGACGATTTATACGCGCGCGTTCCCCGTGATTTTATTTCCAACGGATACCCCTACGGTGGCTGCCCTGGTTCCCGGGTCTAGAGTCTTCAGATGCGCCGATAGAATCGCTCTGTCATGGCGGCTTGCCGGAGTTTTCAGAAATTGGACCTGGTCCACGAATGGTTACCTCTTTTCGATGATCTTGGTGGATTTACAAATATCCTCAGATCTGCGAGTTGACGAAATTCTTCAAATTGACAGCAGCGAGTTCTTCGAATTGGTGGAATTATAGGTTGCTCTTGCAGAGGAGAATATTTTCATCCGCAGTTGGGGTGTTTCGTGCCTTTTGATTGGGCTTGATAAATTCGATTTATTAGCCCTAATTGAATTACCTGATGGCACTTAATGGGGACGGAAATTGAAGCTATGTGTTTGACAGGGGTGAGACTATTTATAGAGTTCTGGGATCATAGAAATGGAATTTTATCTGGTAATCTTGACACGAAGAAACCGAGGAGCTGTTCGATGTTACTCTAAAGTCTTAATTTCTAGTACTACCAATTTTCCTTAAAATTCCTTTTCTTTCACTCCTTCGGCTACCTAATCTAACCTAACTTAGACAGTCATGGTATCATCGGCGTTAATTCAGAAAATTCTCCAGAAGATTCCGAAATTCCACCATAAGTTCGACCACCCGTGCACCCTCGTTGGCCTAACTCCAGCTAAACTCCATAGACGCAACGGTGTCACACTTCCCATTTGCAAACCGTATCCACCCCGTCGCGGCATGATCTGGATGCTCTCCGTTTCATCCCCGACGGCTAATCCGGGTCTTGTCAAAACCGCGCTGGATCGGATGTTAGGCAAACATCCCTTCCACCCCCTTGCCGCGCAGCAGCCAGCGACACAATGCTGATTTCACGCGTTGATAATTCGAAAATGGAGCCCTTTCAACCCTTCGCCGGCGCAGGAAGCAGGAACAGGACAATGTGTATCTAACAGTCAATTCGAGGACAATGCTCGAATTCTGGCTGTGTCTGGCTCCGTCGCAGCAGTCGTTTCATCCCTTTTTTCACCCTCGAGGGGTTCCGCGTCAACGACACGGACCATTGTAACCGGATACACCCCGTTTAAGGGGTGGCTCCTTGATACACCGGGGTGGATTATAACTAGTTGCCACTTAATTTGCCGCGACTGGAGGGTCGACAGCCCTTCGGTAACTGGATTGGCCCAATCGATTGGCGAACACGAGCGTTGAATCATTTACGCCTTATCGCGGCTCGATTACGCGAGCCGAGGGGAACGGCTCGACTGGAGTCTTGTCTAGTTACTTTTTTTTCCCCCAGAAACGTTTTCTATTTTCCGGTACTGGTCTTTGTCTGGACGTCCGTCGAATCGTGAGTCACGTGGTCGGCTAGTATCGCGGCGCGATGTTGTTACTGGGTGTACATTCGAGCTAGTGAAAAATATAGGGGAATAAATTTATGCGTTAATGCGTTGGTAATAAATATAACGATGCTAGGAGAAACGGGAAATCGAAATTCACCGTAGGCTGTCTCGAGAACGGCATCGATATAGAGTTGTGCTATAGGATAGAGTAATAATTCTCGCTACGAGACTAGTAAAATTCCCTAGGCCACTTAAATCACGATATTTCAATTCTCGCGCAGCAATGACCAGTTTAACTGTCTAATAAAATATTACAATACACTAACGGCGCGGAGTAATTTCTTCGCTGTCGTTTCATTCGTAAAATCGCAATCGATCTGTGTTTCAGTGTTAAGTTACTAGATGGCGCTTTGGTTCTTACTAAGAGACTAGTTGAACCCCCTAGATGACATATACCTATCGCGATATTTCAAACTTCTTTCTTCCATTGTCAATTTCAATATATAATAAATATCGTGACACCCTAGCAGCATAGCATAACCTCTTTATTATCATAATTTCACCCTCCATACTCGAGAGCAGAGCAAAATTCTCAAGAAGGTTCCGAACATTTATAACCTATATTAACCTTCGAATGACATAATGACACGTGGAATATTCCAATTTCAGCGAAACAATTCGATCGAATAAATTTTTTAAATTATTCCCAAGGGTGTCGTTAATTGTAGGAGAAAAGGAGCTTCGAATTTTGGCCAATTCGGGAAACTGCAATTGAACTGAAAGACGAACCTTGTTGGTTGCAGGTGAAGGTCTGGTTCCAGAACCGACGGACGAAGCACAAGCGGATGCAGCAGGAGGAAGAAGCGAAGGCGCAGCAGCAGTCTGGTGGCGGCGGTGGTGGCGGTGGCGGCGGTGGCGGAGGAGGCGGGAACGCGAACAACAATTCCAACAATAAGAACACCCATCACGTGAGCAAATGGCAACAGGAGACCGGCGATTATCACCACGAGGAGGAGGAGGAAGAGGAGCACATCGATCCGGAGGCCGAGGAGTGTTCCAGCGGCTCGGAGGCGTAGCTAGACGTTCTCTGCCTGGATTAAGGTGCCAGGAATTGCGTCTGACCGACGACGAACGATTACTCGAAATTCCACACCCGATAGTCGAAACGCGGGTCAATTCTGATCCAGTGAGAAAAAGAGAAGGAGAAGAGAGAAACTTTGGTGTCTCGCACTGTTCGACAGACGACTCGGTGGAATTGTCGGAGTTGCCGGGCCATCTCACGGGAGAATTTGGAATTGTTGCGTAGCGCGGAAGAGGTTGACGCCTTGGGGAGATGTACTCGAGAGTCGGAGGGAATAGGTGGAATTGCCGAGGCGGGAATCCATATTCCTATCGCGAACGTCCAAAGATCGCGCGAAGTGCGAGTTGCCGGAAGCCGCGAGGGCAGTGAACAGTGCGCGAAGTTTCGAAACACTGTCGGTGGAAACCAAAAAAGAAAAGAAAGAAAAATGAAAAAGAATTCGCGATTCGAATTAACCATCCGGAGTTTCCGAGAGAGTGGAATTGCGCGTGTATCGAGACTCGAAAGGACAGTGCGTGGTCGAGTGGAAAGCAAGATTTCATCCATGACGATCGACGCTCACGAGCCGCTCATAGGGTCGAGGAATCGTTGGAATCGCGATGCCCGGAATTGCGGAAATTCCGAAAGGTTCCGAGGGGTGTGCCAACGAAGCGCGAGTGCCAGGCAGAAGAGGCTAGGCGTCGCCGACGGCGATGGAATTGCCGAGGAATCGCGTGTCCCGTGAAATTCCAGACACCGCGGGGACACGAGCGAGACAGACGCGGAGACACGAGTCCCGCGTGCCAGATCGCGATCGTACGACCCTCGACGATTCCCGTGGACGTCGTCGAACGACGCCGGAAGACTGCGGATCTCCATGTTGGCAAGACTGACGTAGTTCCCCTATCCGTATCCACGTACACCACGCGTCGAAGGCGATCGAAGAACGCCGAGGAGGAACGGTGGCCAGAGACGGGGCCGCGAAAAACTCGATCCGGAGCGTGGTTCCATCCGGAGGATCGACGGAATTGCGCGGGTCTTCGAACGTCGCGGAAACTGGATAATGGAGGCATTGTTCCACGGGGCTGGACCAAGCCAAATGGACCGGTTTCCGGCGGAAACGCCGGCGTCGGAGTAGCCCGAACGCTTCGAAGAACTTCGCCGACCTCGAACTATCTCTAACCCTCCTTTCTCCGTGGAATTGCGCCCGTTTCGACGATATCAATTTCGTCGCACCCTCGTGTTTTCCCTTCCTTTTTTCCCCCCCTTTCTTTCTACCATAGTTCCTCGATCGTTTCGCAGAAAACTCAACGCGACAGAGACGTGGAACGTTCCCGAGGAGCGGTGAGTTCGAGGATACGTTCCTCGGGGACGTTCGGCCGAAGAAGAAGGGACCGGGATTACCGGGAGCCGTAATCCCGCGCGTAGATCGTCGCGTTCACACGCATCTTGCCATAGATCGTCCGATGGCGGAGCAGCCAGCCCGTGTACATAAATAAATATCGAGAAGAATCGTAGACTGTGATCCGTGGCGGATCAGGCGTCCTGCGTCTCGCGGAGAACTCTCGCGGAGAAGAAGGATCGGTCCTTTGTCCGAGACGGGGGGACGCGGTATCTGTGTATGTATGTATGTATGTGTGCATGAGTACGCGAGCGTGTAAATAATTCGCGGAGGAAAAGCGCGCGGCTTTTCGAGATCGTGGTGATTGGACGGGAGGTGCAGAGATCGGTATAGAGGATGAGAGTAACGGAGATATGTGAGTGCCAAACTTCGTACCCTTTTTAGCAGAGTGAAGAATCCCAGTGTAAACTCGAGTTGTACTTGCGAATTGTATTTAACGTCGTTGTCCCACGAGCGACCAGTATTTCCCTTTGTCGAATCGATGTCCGAGATGTACTGACGATTTAAATTATTATATCGATTACGTTTAGCGGGGCAAGCTGGGCGTGGCGGCGACGCACGATCGTTCACGAGGAATCCTGTTTTCCTTTTGCGCCCAAATTTTCATCCTCCTACGCCATTTTCTCGCCCCCCTCGGTGCCCCGGTCACCCTCGAGATCGCACGTCCATCCGGTTCGACGACTCGAGGCGATCGAGGGGACAAGGGGGTAGCTCGGACGGAGAAACCGTGTCGATCCGGACGAGATTTCGAAACGGTCGTCTCGACGCCGCTGGAAACTCGTCCGGATCGAGATGGATCGTGATTTCTCGGCGAACGATCGGCCTGCACGCTCGACCGGTCCGTTTTGTAAATACGTTGTACATAAAAGAATTGTGATTTTACTCGACGTGCAAAAGGCGTAGGATTGTACGGTCATTCGGATGATTCAGTTCGTGTTCTAACGATATAGCGAAATAAATTATATCATCTCTTCACGACAACACGTGTGCGTTTCATTCACCAGCCTTCAGTCGGGGACCCGTTACACCGTGACGGATGGATAGTGGGATCGCGGTAGAAGCACAGGATGCAACGATGTTGTTAAGGAACGACGATTTCGAAGGATGGGAATTTTGTTGCTAATTTATAAAGCCGATAAAACGTGTCTACAGCGATCTTAGCACTCCGTGGGATGGAAGAGGATCGCTGAGCTTGCTCCGACACTCTGCTTATCAGTTTCGCTGCGAGTCACTTTGGTTCTACTGCATTTCTAGCTACGGGTTAAGGAAGTCGAGTTAAATTGAAAATTTAATAGGGAAATTACTCCGGGGAAATTTCTAGATTTTTCCGATCACGACTGGGGAATTTATTTTCGTAACGGGGACACGGGAATTCGAACGTGTAATATGTCCCGTTCAAGATTCTTGCAACATCCTCGGTTGAAATTTTAATAATCTTTGGCAAACGGATTTAAAGCTTGACGATTAATAAGAGTAGAAAATACGGGATTCGACATTCGTATCCTGCTAGATAGTATCTTGCTTCAAAGCATTCTCCAACGTCTTCCATCGACTTTCTAATTAGATTTTGTTTATGAATCTAGTTTTCGATTATGATGAATTTTTCGACATCCTTTAAACTTCAAGATCTACGTCGCAATTAACGTCGAGGAGCTACGTCGAGGAAAATAATTCCACTCTTTCGATCACTTCCGCAACATGCTCTAGTAATCTTCCAATGATCTCCGGCTTAAAAATTTCATTTCCTATTTAATTTATGGAAATATTGTTCGACGGACCTAGAATTTAAATAGTCACTACTTTGCAGCTAGAGAAATCCAAATCTTCGACATACTGCGTTGATTTTACCATGATTTTCCATTTCAAAATTTATCTTTCAATTATTAGAAATTCTCTAAGATCCATCAAATTAGAAGATCCATTTCATGATTAACAAAAATCAAAATTTATATTTTACTAAATAATATACCTTCTTCCACGAGTCCTTTGTCATCCTAGATCGATTTCTGAATCATTTTCATTTTGGAAATTTATTTTTCAATCATCAGGAATTTTCTATAATTCGTTAAATTCGCAGATCCATTTCATGATTAACAAAAATCAAAATTCATATTTTACTATATAATGCACCTTCTTCCACGAGTCCTTTGTCATCCTACATCGATTTCTGAATAATTTTCATTTCGAAAATTTATTTTCCAATTGTCAGGAATTCTTTAAGATCCATCAAATTCGAAGATCCATTTTATGATTAGCAAAAATCGGAATTTATATTTTACTAAGTAATACACCGTCTCTCACGAATCCTTCATCATCCTCCATTGATTTCTGAACAACCTTCATTTTGAAAATTTATTTTTCAGTCGTCAGGAATTCTCGAAAATCCGTCAAATTCGAAGATTCATTTTATGATTAACAAAAATCGAAATTTATATTTCATCGAAGAATACACCTTCTTCCACGAGTCCTTCATCATCCTCCATTGATTTCTGCGTAATCTTCATTTTGAAAATTGATTTTTCAATTATCAGGAATTTTCTAAAATTCGTCAAATTCGAAGATCCATTATATGATTAGCAAAAATCGAAATTTACGTTTCATCTGAGAATACATCTTCTTCTTTGGTCCTAGATGAGTCCTTCATCGTCCTCCATCGATTCCTGAGTAATCCTCGTTCAACAAATTTATTTTTCAATTATCAAGAATTCTGAAATTTATTAAACATCCGTGGACATTCTTCAAACTCTGAATATCCATTTCATAGTTACTACTCACGTCGTAATTCGCCATTTTCGAGTCGTCCGACATCCTCCATCGACGCTAAATAGTCGTGACTATCGCAAGCTTCGATAGTCCTCGTTAGGGAGAAAGACGCAAGCGAGGCTAAGACAAATCGTTTCCACGGAAGCGGCGTTTCTGCTTCCTCGCAGGCTACCAGCCCGATCCTTGTCGATAATCGCTTTATAATCGCCGCTTCGAGGACGAATAATTACGCGCGCGGCCGTCTGCCCCGTAATTAACCGCGGCGCGTCTGCCCGAAACAACGGATATGCAGAGGCGAACGATTACAAAGAGTCATTATTTTTGCCGGAATTGCCGCCTCTCCACGGAGCCGCGGCTTTCGTGAACTCCGCCGGTAGCCTCTAACCTGCACTTATCGGTTGACAATATAATGGCGGACTCGACTCTGCTCTCGTTCCTGACGATCTCACGTACTCGGATAAAAGAATTCCTTTTCGTCTCTCGGATATTTTCTACCCCCACCACTACGAACAACATCACTCTTCTTTATAATACTAGCAATCTCTTCCTCCAAAAGTCCGTTTCAATCGAACTTGAATCAACTTAGGTCGCATCTTAACCTAAAAAGTAAGGTTAGAATCCCAATTGGCACGCAATGACGTTATAAATAACAATCATGGCGGAACTACTAGGCCACGTGGTACAGAGCACCAGTGGAGACGCCTAGCGGTCCTTATTGGAAGCATCTTTTACGTAACAAAGTTTCGATAATTATCTGGACGAGAATGATCCAAGTCACTGATCATGGAATTAGGGTTGGATGTTAATTGGTATTTGGGTCGAGGATTATCCCGGAGACAGGGGTGGGGGAA